CCCCCCCCCCCCCCAGTTATCCCACAAGTTTTTCAAGACAAAGCTCTTTCTACCTGAGTAAAATACTCTTTTCTCCAAGCAAGACACGGACAAAAATACCAGAATTATTTAAAATACTTTCAGTTCACACATCATTTCACCAGGTATGTATGAATCAACTAAGACATGCTACCACTATTACTCTGCTTTTCCCAGCCACTTAATTTTTTTCTGTAACTGAATTCACAGACTCAAATCAACTTCTCAGTTCTCTCCACATACCACTTGAAGGGAAAAAGTAGTGTATTTTTAGCAAACTTTTCTTTTCCCAGCCACTTTCTCTTAGGTACAAATATTCTTTTAACAAGTTTTTATTATTAAATTGCTGCATGAGGAAGGCTACAGAAAAGATTTTGGTACAGGGAACACTTTTACCAAATGCTTCTTACCAAATTCCTCAAGATAACCATTCCAATGCAGGTTTCTTCCCTCAGTAAATCATCAGGTCTGAAAAGGTTAGTTGTCAGACAGAATGACAACAGCTACCATTTCAGAAAGTTTCTTTCATAACCATGCTCTTATATTTGAGAGAAATGAACCAGACCATCAGAAAGCACATTTTAAATTAATGTTGCTCAGCACTAATTAGGTGACTGATTAGACTCTGCAACCTTTTATCTGCCATGTTCTAAATTCTGTGCATGTCTCAGGCAGACAGATACGGGGTTTAGGAGAAAATTCCAGCAGGGACATAACTTTTGTGTGTTGGCAGAACACCACAAGAATTTGGATGGATGAACTCCCCAACCTCACACCACAACTCTTCTTCAGTCAAGAAATTGCAAAACAATTGGAAAATGTATCTGAAATGGTAAGAAATAAATTAATGAGTTTATGAGTTGAGGCATATATTTTCCATTTTTCTCTTCACTGTGCCAACTGAGAGGAGAAAAATGAGAATCCAGCACTTGGCTCTGCATTTCTAGATTAAATCCAAGCATGTGTTTCTGAGCATTTTTCAGTCACATGGATCCTGAGACTCCAAAATAAATAACTTTATTTTACTCATGTTAAGGGGGTAACAAAAAGGAATACCCTTCCTATGCAGCATTAACATTCCAGGACAATACCTAATAGTTTTCTTTTTTTTTTTTTTATGACAATTTCTTATTCATGTCATCAAGCAGTCATGAAACAAAGGGTGAATTAAAGAGTCAGTTCTTTAATTCAGTGTATTATAGGCATAATTAACTTTTTTTCAAAGATCATAAATTCAGAAACCAGTAGAATAGATCTTTATTTTGATTGCTTACATTTCTTGTGACTGGGACAGGATTCTAACTGTGCAGCAACTCATTAGGTGATGGCTGAGTTCTGCTGTTTTCAGGCAAAGGCCAAATACGTCTTTTGTTTATACATAGGCTGCATACTCAAAGCTTTTTCTAGGTCAATAACTAAGAAAATTAAATTTCTTGGCATTGGCAGAAAGCTGTCATTTATTTTCAGACTCTCTTCCTTTAAATAGTGTTATCTAACAAAGAAGAAAAAATCTCTTGTTGCCTAAATTCTGTGCCTTGCAGAAATTTTCATTCACTGGAAATACAGCACATCTTCAATTATGTTAGGCTCAGTCATTTCAGTAACAGCTCTTTTTTACACCTATATTTTGGAGTATTCTCATAAGGACTATTTACTATTAGCACTTGAAAGTTTGATTCAAATTATTTATGTACGCTTTGTTAATTGCATGTATGTCATCAGAGTTTATCATCCAATGTTTCAAACATAAAGTTTCAAGATTCTTTACTGATATGCTACACAGACCTTGCTGTCTATATTTTTATATTTTGGAAATTCAAAACATTGCTCCAAGCACCTTGTGTTTTTCCAGCAACAAAACAGAAACAACTGAGGCATAGTCAAATTCTTGGTTTTGTTTTGATGAAAACTTTCTTTGTATTTTTTCTTCATTTTGCCTCACAGGAGGAGACACCTGCCCAGAAACTATTTTAATCAGCCTGTTCCTGAAAGACTGTATCCTGTAGAAATGGACCAACACTGGAGCAATTAGTGAAGAACTGCAGCCCAAAGGAATAACCCACGTTGGAGGAGGCTGAGAAGGACAGTTTCCTATAGGATGGACCCCATGACAGAGCAGGGGAAGAGCATCAGGAGGGAGAAGCACCAGTGACAAAGTGCTGTGAATAGTCTGTAACCCTTCAAGTTGAGTCTTGTAAGATGTGTGTGTGGCAAAAAGTGGTTTTAGATTTGCTCTAATTTCTCCCCATCCTAGTCTGATATTAATTAGCATTAATTAAAATCAATTTCCCCAAGATCATCTTGTTTTTCCTATCATGGTAAATGGTAAGAGATCTCTCAACCCCTATTCTGATCCAAAACTCTCCCCTGTGTTTTAATTAACTGAGCGGGGTGGATGGTGAAGCACCTTGATGGGTATGTGCCACTCAGCCAAGCTCAACGCACTCCCCATCAGGCAAATTCAATCACCAGAGAAACCATGTCTTGATCAAGCTTCCAGAAGAAACAAATGGTATGAAAGGCTGAACCCATTTAAAAACAAAACTATTGACATGAAAAGTCTTATAAAATCAAGACTGTAAAAAAAAAAAATACAATTGAGTTATGAGATACAGAAAGGAGAGAGAGAAGCTGGACTGAAAAAGGATCTGTTCTTTCCTAAAACAATTTTTTTTCTACATCAGGTGACAGCTGATGCAGGAAAGAAAGAGCTTCAGGTTTGGGAGTTGGTCTTGTATTTATAGAAAGACTGGGGGCTTCATTTAGCTCCAAAAGTCAAAACTTCCATCTTTATATTACAGGAAGATCTAGAGAAGGTGTGACCACACTAAGCTCCCAATTACATAAATGCTTTTCAGGAGGGAACGTGGGGAAGCGAGTCAAACCTGAAAACTGTAAGCTCAGACTTGTTAACCTTCATAGCTCCAGAAATGAGAGTCCCTGCCGACATTAATGCTTCTAAAGATGGAGCTGGCAGAAGGCTTTGCAAGAGCCTTTCCTTTGACTTTGAAGTGAAGCTGCTGAAGGTCATGTCAGAGGTCCTTGTGCTGATGGTTAACACTGTCATTGGCCAGAGGAACCACCACACTGGGTGACACAAATGGCTGGGAGTCACTCCTGCTCCTTTCTGCATCTTCCTGCCCAGCAGTTCTAAGGCCAGACGAGCTCAGCCAAGTCAGGTGCTCAAAATGCACTGCTACAAGTAAGGAAGAACAAAACTGCCCAAGTGAAACCAGACAGAGGCTACAGCTTTACAAGGAGAGGCATTTGATCCTGTTCATTCTGTTCTTCTTGTCTTGTAACATTTATCTGCTTCACAAAATCCTTGCCAGGGCCTCCCATCTTCCTACCCATGGCCTTGGCTGTGCCTGCTGCCATCCATCTCCCACAAGCAGCACAAAACACTCTTTTCAAATTCTGTGGTCCAGTTATAAAGCACCCAAACCAGAAAGAGCAGCAACACAGCAGGAAAACAAATGAGCAGAAGTATTGCAGACCAACAGAAACACAGAACTTCTGGAAATGAATACATAGGCTACAACTGGCTTTGGTTGACGGGTGGTTTTTTTTGGTGGTGGTGGTGGCTTTGTTGTTAGTATTTTTCTTTCCCTGAGACACATCTGGGATATCCCATCTGACTTTCTGCCTTCAGAGCTCATGGCCTAAACCCACCACCACGCTTCCTGCTTGATCCATGTTTCTGTGGGTTCTGCCTGTCCAGTGGACAGGGAGACCATCTCTCCTGTCACACAATGCTTTGTGCAGCACTAAAGTTCTTGGATTTCTACTCTACACACCAGTGTAGTGTAAATAATTACACCTGAAAGTAACAAGATTCCTATCCAAGCATGAAGCTTATTTGTTTAAAACATATATTAATGTAATAGGACTTCCTTGGACTAGAATTAAAACGTTTTCCTTTGCTCAATTTCATTTCCATCCCAGATTATTTTATTTCCACCTTTCTAGGAGACACTGCATAGTTCCAGAACATGTTATTTCCTTAAGTGAACAAAAGCTTTGGTAAAACTGGTTGATCTGTCCTACAGAGGAGAGTAAACTTGAATAGTACATTGACTCTTTGCTCACCTTGAAACCACCATGAATCACTCTTATCACTAAAAGGAATTGCAGCATATATTTTTCACATATACCTAAGCTCTGTGTAATCATCTTGGATGCTACCAGACCTTGCAAACAAAACACAATACAGACATTCTCAGTTATAAATTCTGACTTTATGTGTTTTTGTAAAATATAAGTCTGTTCAGATACTGAGTACTGCAAGCACATATTATCATCCAGACTCTGCATTTCCTTTGCTGTACAACAATTGGAAACCATCAACATCCAACAGAAGCCTGTTCCGTTCCTCCAAAATGTGGAGAGGAGAGGGAAAATTCGGATTTGGGGGTGATAAAATGCTACTGGCTGAGAGGAACATTGAACTCACTGTTAAGAGGCATTATGAAATTGTAGTGGCATATCACATCTTATTTTGAAACCAGAAAGTATTCAAGACTCAATTAAATGAAGCAAGATCCCTATATTTGCATTAAGAAACACTAGCAATAAAAGAACCAGCTTAAATGTCTGTTACTGTTACACTGGTAGTGTTTCCCTGTTCTTCCATGTGGCCACTCATTTCCGATTAAATCATCCAATAGAATTTCTACTTTATTTCCTATGTTTTTCAGTATGCAACACATCATGTGCACCACTAAGGGAAAGCTGTGGCTACATGAAGCTTTTGTTAGGGCAAAGCATCTTGAATTTACAAATATGTGCAGCACAACCATCTGTAACAAAACAAACAGCAACAATCATATGTTCTTGCCATAATATAGCCCACAAACAAGTTATAAACTTATTCCCTGAATCAGTAACAACTAATGATTAATAATATTTGACCCTCACTTTTCTGCCATAGAGATACGGACTTTTAAATATGCTAGCTTGTTGTTTTGTCATTTTTCATCCAAGTTACATTTTACATTTTAAACTGAATTTCCTTAATCACTTAAAGAGTATATTTCTACAAGATTTAATTACTTATGTATGACATATGTCTCTCATCCTTGGACGATTTATCTTACCCAAGAAAACTAACTGCTATTACATAGGACTAGACAGAGGATTCTGATTCAGACAAGTATTCAGCAGATTAGTTAAGTTACATGCAGTGAAACTGTTTCAACTGTAAGTAAGAAATAAACATTATGAAAACAAACCAACAAAAAACCTCAAACCAACTAGAATTCCAGGAAGATGCAAAGCCTAGCAAGGCTTTGGAGATAAGAGTGGTTAGAATGAAGGACTAGGCATCTTGGCCTGCATTAGGAAAGCATTTCCAGCAAGACAAGAACATGGACAATGTGATTGCACATCAGTCACTAATCATAGCATATGGGAAAAACAGAATAACTGATTTTTGAGACACTGGATGCTTTTGTGTTCTTTGCACATTGATATTCCACAAGTTTATATCACCCATGTAGTTTTAAAGGTTCAACTCTGAAAATGCTTTTTTTTTTTCCTGACATCTTCTCATGTGATAACATACAACAAAGTACAACAGAAATTAGTACATATTCTAGCAATCAGACAGCTTCATCTTAGGAACCATGCAAGGCACAGAAAACATGGTCCTGGCCAGGACTAAAATGGTATTAACTCACTGTGTATTCAAGTTTACCAATTGTCAGTATACTCTGAATCAGATCACGTACCTGTGATACAATAATTACATAAAGAAGAGATGCATCCATATGACACCAGAAATGGCTTCAAGCATCAGTACTTTACTTTTCTGCAGCACAACCTTTCACACTATTCATCTCATGTGCATTACAGCTGTGTGCCCTCTCTACCCTCCTGTGATTGCTCAGTATACCTCAGCATTCCAAGTTTCATTGCCTTCAATACTGTTCATCTGTCCTACATAGTTGTAGCTCATTGGGGATGAGGCTCAGCAGCAGCCCCATTCCCAACCCCCACAAACTGTGTGCCTACATCCACAGATAAATTTGATAGTTCTATACAGCAGGAAACAAGTCAATACAGGAAGCCATGGGGTTAATTATCATACTCTGCAGGCTGAAAAGCTCTAAACAGCAGTATTTTGCAAATATCTAAATTGCCATTAAAAAAAAAAAAATCAGTAGAAGTCAACATAATAAATGTGCAAAATCATCATAATAAAAATAAAATCTTAAAAAGTAAGTTTATTCTTCATAAAATGTGATTTTTATTAAAAGTATGTTGTCAGGTAGTCACAAAAATAAGAACGGCAAGGATATGGCACTTCCCACCATTAGGATGTGGTGTAAATTAACTTTCTCTCAAGACTATTTGATTCAGTGAGAATGTTTGAGAAGGAAGATAGTTGACATTTCACTGCTCAATTTCTGATTCACCTATTATAAATGTGAAGACACAGAAATAGTAATAAACAATGGCAACTAAAACCACTGAGGAAATAGACAAATCAGATATACTTTGGCTTTTAATACAAGCCAGTAACACATCTCAGCTTTTCTTTCAGCCTTATGCAAATACAAAAATGCCAGCATGAGAAGTATTCACATCGACCTTGCAGCTGATAAGTATCTGAAGAGAGATTAGAAGAAAATATATATATATATCTCCTAAAATAGAAAGAATGAAAACTACTTGAACGCATAGATGGGTGTTAAGTGAAAATGACACTGCAAGATGTCAGTGTGTATGAATAGAATAAGCTTTCAGGGAAGGAGCAAATAAATACAAGATGTCTCAGATACAAAGAATATTTAAAAAAACAGGAGTTATCTCAACTTTATAGTCGGGCATTAAGTTGACACAGGTACAGCCATGTTTTCTCCACAGTATAAATGGAAGAAATGCAAATTATGATTGTAACAATTAAGTTAATTTTCTCTCTTGACAGCTGTCCCAGCTTGTCAACAAAAGTTGTTGCTTAGTTTTCAATACAGATATTCAGATCACAAAGCTTCTGCCCCATAAATGCTGTAAGTAACTGTTTCAGAATGACATAAAAAACTTTGAAGATTAAATTTTTCTGTCAACACTGCAATTTTTCTCTCTGCACGTTCTGCATATGCGAAAGCAAGAAGCATTTAGTCTTTATTCTATGGGTACTTGAAGTATTTCACACTTCTAGATTGTTTTTTCCATTTTTACTGCTAGGAAAAAGCAAAATGAGACTTAGTTCAACATACAAAACTCTGTTTCTGAAGAGAAGGTGCTTTTAATCTGGCAGTGTCCAGTATATTTGACCTGGAAACTATAACTGACTTTTCTGCAGCCAGAGGAAACGGAACATTTGGACATTAGCAAAGTTTGAAATCAGGTAAGCATCAGAGAAAGAAAGCAGATTTTATTCCAGTGAGTGCTCTGAAAATGTTATCTCTGAGTGACAATGAGGAGAGGTAAGGACAGTGGGACAAAGAGTTCCAAAGCCATTCTCACACTGCTACTATCTGTGTGAGAAAGCCCTGATATGGTTCACTTACCAATAAGAAAAACATGTGAAAAATCTGTCTCTAGCCTCAAGCCCTCTCAAGCTGACTTTGGACTTAGGATGCAAGGTGGTGTGTGAAGTTAAAAGGAAGAATCGCACAGCTGAGAAACTGAGAAAAGTTCTGGAACTCTGCTCCTCAGCTGGCATCCCATCCTTTAAGATTTCTTTGCCTAAACACACTACAAGCTGCAATTTTGAAATGAACTTCAGGTATGGTGGATTCAGTCATCCCCTTGACATCACATTAGAAATTTATTTTCTGTCATTTCATTTCAGATAGAAAACCACCAGAGCAACTGATTACATGCCAAACAAGGGGTCTGGCATCAAAAGAGAATCAGAAGAAGAAGCTGACAGAATTCTAGGTAAGACTGAGCAACAAAGGTTCTTAAAAGAGAAAACAAGCCAGCAAAACAAGTCAGAAAAAAAGGGTAACATGACCACCTATTTGATTTTCTACTTTAACCATTAAAATAACATTCTGTGCAGAAATAAAAGCAAAACTACATTGTCAAGTTCAAAGAAAAATGCCAAGAGAAGATAAAAATGTGTGACTAGACAGAAATTCATACATAAAAAAACAAACTAAAACCTGAAACAAAACACACCGCCTGCCTCCCCCCACCTTCAGAAGAGATTAAAAGTTATGCAGAATACAAACCTGATGTGAGCAGGAAAGGAGTAATATATAAAACCTGAAAATGTTATTGGAATTATTAGTTATATTTAGCACATATACAAGGAATGCCAGAAAAACTGGTGCTTTTTATACCACAAGCACCTGCATCTTTTCTAGGTTGTTACAAACTCTTTGTCTATTATTTCCATAGAAAACAAAACCACTCAATTTGTACATTTGCATGCTCTGTTGCAAGTGAAAATGTTAAATCACTTCTCAATGGAGAAGTATGTGGTACTTAGGAAACCTTTCCAGTAGAATACAAATTGAGTTTTCATCAAAATAGTATACTGAGCTAAGCAAACATGTAAAATAGTAAGCTAATTTTTAATTAAATAGTTTTTATGCTGCTTTTCAATGCCCTGTTCTGCGTTTATATGATCTCAAGGACTCAAAACCATCACTTAGAGAAACCCAGGAGGAAAGACTTTAATCTTATTACCTGCGATTCCCACATTTCAAACACTGGAGAAGTTGATGAACTGTTTAAAGAGTGATAGCTGTAACACTTGACAAGTTAGAACCTTATAGAAATACAGACTATCAGCTGGATCTTGGGACTATGATGATTCCCCTGCCACAAAGGTTCCCTTCAATACAGGACCCAATTTCTGCAGGCATCCATGACACTTAACTGGAGGGATTTGGCAGGAGGTAACATTAGAGGGCTTAAGGACTCTTTCTGGCTTCAGACTGTACTGAGCAGATTACAGATTTAGAAAACTAAAACCCAGTAGTAGAGAAAGGTTAAGAAAACATCACCTTTGTGCAACTCATTTTCCTTCTGACTTAATGATATCATTAAGATATTCCTGCTTGTCAAAATTTCAGCCAAAGAAAATGAGTAATTCATTGTGGCTTGTTGAAGTAAACAGTGTGAACTGTAATTGTGTAAATTGTATAATTGAAGTAAATTGTTCTGATCTCATAACAGAGATACTTGTTAATAGCTACATGACCAAAACTAAAGTAAGATAAGCAGAATGCCTTTATTATGCACATCTTCTAGCAAAACAAGAAAGCAGCTTGCGGTAGCTTAAAAGGGTAAGGATTTCCGCCAGATATCACTGACTGCTAACATGGCTATCCAAAACTAATGGTGACCACCAACTTAGAAATGTGAGAACTTTGAAGCAGGGATGGAAAATGCAGAAGACTGCTAGAGGAGGTTCTTCCAGAATGTATAAACTTGTCTTTTCCATCAAGCACGTTCAGATGCAATGCAATAGAACTTCTGCAAATGCAATGCACCATACACAAACTAAAGTTTTAAAATCAGTTTTCTCAGGCTGGGAGGGTGAAGATACCAGTAGAAATAATTTCTGTTCTGTTGCAGGAAAAAAGGATTGCCTGTCATTGGCATAATTGTCACCAATATTGAAAAGGGATAAAGAAATCAATCTGTGATTTACAAACAGAGCAGGTCAGCATATAGGACTTCAAATGTTTCTAGGCTGAAAGACAAAAAATGGCCTAGGTAGGCCATTTTACTATTTAATTTGTGCAAACTGTTTTTAACTAACTGTTTGGAAAAATCGTTCTCTCACTTAAAATTAAAAATTTAAAAACTCAAAAGCAAAAACAAGGCTAGACACTGAGTTTTCTCCTTTGCTCCTACTCCTTCTAACCTCCAATTCCTACCAAAATTTTCTGTCACAACTAGCCACATAGTTCATAGCTGAAATGATCACAGCAACAATTCTGCAATAAGTCTGATGAGAAGTATGTTTAAATTCAATTAAAGCAAATTATCCAAAAGTTTGACAAAGTTCTCACAGTTCTCTGAACTCTTCCACACAGCAGCGCCATCCTTACTTACAAGGAAAATAAAACATGCAGCAATCTTTATTTTCTCAGCTTCTCTGCTAGAAACACCAGTCCCTTTCATCTTTCTCCTCTAGCAACATCTAGGACTTTCCTTTTGCTCCAGCTTAAGGGTCTCACATCCTCCTCCCCCCGATCCTTTCTGTCCTGTCCTGGCTCCCAGCACTCAGCACCACGGCCAGCGCCACGGCTGATGGAGTGAAAGTCACCCCAAAACGAAAGCTGGCATCAAACAGAAACCACTTATCCCTGCCCTCTACCTTCCTAGGTGGTAGGTCAGACACTCTAGTTATAACATATGGCTGCCCTGATGCTGTTTCAAAGATGCTGTTGTTATTCAGTGACGCTGCATAGCACTGAATGAGAAAAAAATAATATTCAAGGTAATTCTTGTTTGTAACAAGGAAATGGTTGTAGCTTTTATAATTTCATAGTAACAGTGGCAAAAGGACAAGCATCAGTAAATGACCTGTGTGTTGTGGTGTTGTGACAATGTGATTTTGACTTTGGATAGGAAGTCTGCTTGTTGATATAAGTGATGTTTGTGAAGACTGTATGAGGAACATAAACTTCGATGACAATTCTGGTTTATTCTGGCAATTATACTAACTGGTTTACAAAATGATGCTGCAAACAAGCAACTACTGACCTGGATTGCACAGAACTGTAATTATTCACTATCCCCATTTCTCCAGTTTGTGTTCAAATTTCATTATACTCCAAACAGTGCCCTTGGGAAAAGCATCTGGGGTGTTCAGAGCACATCTGCTACTGATAGGCTACATAAACATATATACAGTGTTACATAAGCACACAGTGCAGTAGAAATAAGAGTGACTTATCTCACACTTTTTTCAAATACAGTTTGCTGACATATCTTTTTATGCAGGGGAGCCTCACTTCTAAAAATGATAAAACTGATTTTGCCTAACTTGAATTAGGAAAGCCTTGTCAACACATCTTACTCACTCTCCTTTTAATATAAGAAACACATAGGCAAACTCAGCAGTTGAATTTGATTCCATATCCAAATTTGGTAGAATTATAAGGTTTCTGAATGACAGGTATGTAAATGCTGCTGTGTTTCATATCACACATTTTCTAGACTTCCACTGCTACTCAGCCT